TTGTGAACTTCCCGTACACAAAAATATCTAACATTTATTTCTACCAGTAAAAACTTCAGTTATATGTTGATGAAATTATTTCGTCCTAAACACAGTTCAAATTACGGTACCTACACGCATCAGATCTTCCTAATGAGAAGGTAATAGCATGAGACGCCACATGCAGTATGCCAACCAATAATGTACATTTGGGAAAAAAAAGTAAAGCGCAGTCCTCGCTGCAGATTCAATCGGATGAAACTATCTACATTAATTTATATACACATTTACAGCATTTACAAAATTAGTTTGAGAAACCTGCACGTTGCAATGTATACTGATTGCAAAACAATAGTCGATGATTACAAAAATCATGGGGTAGATTGAATGGACCGCTCTGTAAAAGTGGTTTTTCAGTCAAAGTGGTAAACCAAAAAAATACTACTGAATACGCCTCGAAATGTTTACAGCTAATCTGCTCTCCATATCTAAGTCTCAAATTCAACATAACTTACATGAAAGAAATAATGAACGTCTCTACCTGGTATGATTGCTGCTCAACTTTATGAGAGGTAGGATACTAAGACATCAATCATACTTCGAGGCTCGAGCCGTTTTCACATTTGGCAAAGAATGTTCACAAGATATACAGATGCGCTTTGGATATAAAAGGCGGAGCAAAATAAGCAGAGACGTATTCACTTCTCAAATCTCGGTATGAATGGTCACTTTGACTGACATTCCTTTGTTGAGAGTGGATTAGTCGCCTTCAGTGATTTATAAACAACACGTAAACACAAAATTTTTCATGTGTTAATTTGTAAATAATCACAAAGCTAACTTAAGTATAGAACTGGTAATTTTCTGAAGACGACCCAAATCCACTCCATAAATACTACGTTGTATTTTATACGCCTGTTCCTGAAGGGTATCCCCCAAAATAAACAAAAGTGACTAGACTGACGAGCACTAAATGCGGGACTATTTTCTAATATATCTATGAAAGCCAATACATATGCGAGAGACCCAAAACGCAAATCATCAACACTAAAGAGTGTAATTCCAGATACCACTGATACGACAGCGCTACTTATACAACAAAATTGACGTTGACTTTTGAAAATGTACAGTGGTGGGCAGTGACGTCCGAACGCTTCGAATATCGTTAAGCAAATCTCTAAGGGGATGAATTCAGCTGATAAGTTCTAGAACTTCTCCCATTCCTTTAGTTTTTCCCTGCCGAAATATGAGCGGAGTAGAGGGACGAATATACTCTGGACTGCTCATGAGTTCAAACATTACAGTAGCCCATTTTCCTTGTTCAAGCGAAGGCCGATCGATGTCCACAATGGCTGCAGTTTGTCGAACAGAACCAATGTACACTAAAAAGACTATGCTCTAGCTGCAAAGCTAACATCTTCATTTCAAACCAGTTCATGCTCTACCTATTCACTTCAGTCGCGAACAAAAGAAGATGTACACAAAGGCGTGAAAAATCTCTCATATGGGTAGAAACCCACCTGTTGCTTGGAAGCCAGTACAAAGATGTCGAGTAGGATGAGATAGCAAAAACAGCGATGCTACAAATCGACGGCAACATGTGGGCTTAACTGAAGCCGACAATAGAACCATTCCCTGAACGCCAAAAAAATCAAGGTCAATAAAAATATTGGAACAAAAACATACCCTTCTTAGAGGGAGAGATCCCTTCGAACGCCTGTTCAAAGCAATACTGACAGCTTCACCTGGCAATACTGCTTGCACTGGTTGTCGACTACGTCTAATCGAACCGATATAAGCCTGAATACAAATACAATAGGTCTGAAGCATTTTAGAGCAACATTTCTTAGAGAAAAAGTCTGAAAAGCCGAGCTAATCACCTAAGGAAGAAACAACGCCAAATTTCGTGACATTTTTTGCTACATGATAGCATAAAATTACAACTGACTGGATTAATCAAAATGTCAAACTGATCTTCGCTACCTTTTCAAAGCTTCCATCCTTGTACGGTCCTAATAAAACGGGATCACCTTCCTGTAATCGACCTTCCGAAAGCATACCACCGACAACAGTCCCAACCTATAAAAAATATTTCCTTAACCTCTAAACACCACAAACTGCATTGAGATATTCTTCAAACTAAATCGGATAAAGCAATCGAGCTGCACAACAGCCAGAAGGTAACAACATTTTAACGTACATGTGGCACATTGAACACCTCTTCGACCGTAAAAAGCGGAGGCTGCGAAGCCAGCTGTAGTCTAGATCCAGTTGTTCCTGTTGGTGGTAGTACATTCAAGAAACAGCGAAAAAGGCCCAGGCCAGCACCAGTCACGGAAGATATACACAAAATCGGAACGGTACCAATTGAGCAGAGTTCGCCAGCTGCTCTAAAATAAACTAGAGAGTGTAGATAATCATGCTGATTTGAACTAGCATATACAATACGAAAGCTATTATTATTGGTTCAGACTACAGAAAACTAATTTAGAATTTGTGAGGATAATGAAAAAATTACTTCACGGCATCTCTTTTCCGTTTCACTCGCTTGCTGCCAGCGGTCATACCTGCGCGCGAAAGAAGGGACGACATGGAGTTTATTACTCTGAAGCGGAAACAATTCTTTTGTTAAAACTAGGTTCGTTGATTTTCGTTCAATCTTCAATACGGCTTGGGCTAGTACAGCTTTTTTTTTATTTTCTTAATTTTGTTTGTCTTTAAGAGAGAGAGAAACTGCAATTTCGTCCATCTTATCTTCGATTCGAGATGGAACGTAAACCGACCTTTCTAGCTGTTCTTTTGCAACTAGATCCCATTTGGTGATTATTACAAAAATGGGGATGTTCAAAGCAGCAGCTAACCCCAAATGCTCCCTTGTCGCCGCTGTGGGTCCAGTTTCAGCCGAAACGAGCCTTGAAACGAGCACTCAACGTGT